TTTATTACTTTTAGCAGCGCTCCCGCAGAACTGAAGACTTTGTGGTGGAATGAGTTTAAGGTTAGTGTTGTCTTCCTTCACAAACTAAGTTCGGTGTAGCATATTGATGGTCAATAATGAATTTTGTCACGAATTGTCTGGTACATTGTAATGGATATGTGACATGTGACCCTAGTGGATAATTTTCAGTTGTTTTTCTATTAATTGTAGCGTAAGTTCACGTGGGATGAAATGGAAGAGGATGAGGTTAAAAGAATTTTCAAGAAGAAAATCGGTGATCACATGCGATATGTGATAAATAGAGCAAAGAGAAAAAATGAAAAGCCGACCTTTTTTACAACTGACAATTGGACGGAAATTACAAGAACTTGGGAAACTGAGAAGTATAAGCTAAGGTGTGAACAGAACAAGAAGAATCGAGCTTCTAGTTCTAGTGACGGGTCTGCGTCTGCCACATATGCTGGGGGCTCTATCAGCATCGGGGAGCATAAAAGAAGAATGGTAAGTCTGTTTATACATGTCGAGTGCATTTAATGTAATGATTAGTCATTTATGTTTATATTTTGTAGGCGAGATGAATTGGGGACGGAACCCACTTTTACAGCTACATTTGAACGCACATTCCAAAAAAAGATAAGACATGGATCGACGCTCGAGCAAAAGCTACTAAGGTATGTAAGGTTATAGTTCGGACTTATAGGAAACTAGAATGAAAATCATGAATGTTTTAATATTTATGGTAATATATATGAATTTATTTTATTTCCATCTATAATGTTAATATAGGAAAAATATGATGAACTTTTAATGAGCATTGCTGGTGGTGATGGTGGTGGTGGTGGTGGTGGTGATGGTGGTGATGGTGGTGGTGATGGTGGTGATGGTCGTGCGTGTTCGAGCCATCGGTTGTGATATGGCATTATGGGTGGAGCGGCGGGTGGGATGAAAGGAGGAAAAATATTTGGGATGGGATCCTTGTCAAGGATGTACAAATCGAAGGTTGGTGCAACTTCGTCCTCCAATGTTGTGTTTCAAGGAGGACACAACGTGAGGAGCGAGATAACCCAAGAATTGAGCCAATTGAAGCGAGTTGCTTGTACAGAAGGACGAAGAAACGAAGTATTTACTTGGACAGAAGGACGAACAAATAAGGGTGATGCAACAACAACTGCAAATTGTCATGCGACATCTCGACATCGATCGCAATGAGGTTCCTCCTCTACCTCATATTAATCCAATTGATGATGGGCATAATGCTGAGCCACAAAATGATGCGGCGAATGGTGATGGTGATGATGATGATGCTGATGATTTTATTGTCAGTCCTTCCTAGTTCATTCTCGAGTACCAAAACTGCCAACGTTTTTATGGTTGTCCCGCGTTCTTTCAATGTTTTGAATGTATTACCTTATGTTCATTAGTGCTTAGCTGCCTCTTCGTATTATGAGATTGAAAATCGAATATCATCATATGAGACTTTGCAACTTATGCATTGTAGAAATTACTATTGCTTTCTTACCAAAAAAAAATTAATATTGATAATAATTAGATTTAAAATCGAAATTATCGCTAAATAAAATTCGTCGCAAACTTAGCGACGAATTTTGTCACGAATAGCTTTCGTTGCAAATTACCAACGAAAATTGAATTTTTTTGATGGAAAAAAATCGAATTTCCAACGATTTTTTCATCGAATAATTAGCGTCAAATTTTGCAACGTATTTTCCCACAAATGTTGTTTTCGTTGGAAATTACCAACGAAAATTTTAACTTTTTGGATGAAAATTTCGCGGATTTTCCACGATTTTTTTGCAACGAATAAGGATGAATTTATATATTATTTTTCGTTGGAAAAAAAAACAATTTATATATTATTTTTCCAACGAATTAAATTTTCGTCGGAAATTACCAACGAAACTTGCAATTTTTTGTCGGAAAAAATTGCGATTTCCAACGAATTTTTTTTTCGTTGGAAATTAACAAGGAAAAATTTTTGTCGGAAAAATCCCACATTTCCAACGAATTTTTTTTTTCGTCGGAAATTAACAACGAAAATTGTAATTTATTGTGGGAAATATTCGGGATTTCCAACGAATTTTATTTTTGTCGGAAATTACCAACGAAAATTCGTTTGTCGGAAAAATTCGAGATTTCCAACGAATTTTTTTTTCGTTGGAAATTAACACGAAAATTGTTTGTGAGAAAAATTCCCGATTTCCAACGAATTTTTTTTTCGTCGGAAATTACCAACGAAAATTATTTGTCGGAAAAGTTCGCAATTTCCAACGAATTTTTTTTTCGTTGGAAATTAAAAACGAAAATTGTAATTTCGTGTGGGAAATATTCGAAATTTCCAACGAATTTTTTTTTCGTTGGAAATTAACAACGAAAAATTTTTGTCGGAAAAATCCCACATTTCCAACGAATTTTTTTTTCGTCGGAAATTAACAACGAAAATTGTAATTTATTGTGGGAAATATTCGGGATTTCCAACGAATTTTATTTTTGTCGGAAATTACCAACGAAAATTCGTTTGTCGGAAAAATTCGAGATTTCCAACGAATTTTTTTTTCGTTGGAAATTAACACGAAAATTGTTTGTGAGAAAAATTCCCGATTTCCAACGAATTTTTTTTTCGTCGGAAATTACCAACGAAAATTATTTGTCGGAAAAGTTCGCAATTTCCAACGAATTTTTTTTTCGTTGGAAATTAAAAACGAAAATTGTAATTTCGTGTGGGAAATATTCGAAATTTCCAACGAATTTTTTTTTCGTTGGAAATTAACAAGGAAAAATTTTTGTCGGAAAAATCCCACATTTCCAACGAATTTTTTTTTTTCGTCGGAAATTAACAACGAAAATTGTAATTTATTGTGGGAAATATTCGGGATTTCCAACGAATTTTATTTTTGTCGGAAATTACCAACGAAAATTCGTTTGTCGGAAAAATTCGAGATTTCCAACGAATTTTTTTTTCGTTGGAAATTAACACGAAAATTGTTTGTGAGAAAAATTCCCGATTTCCAACGAATTTTTTTTTTCGTCGGAAATTACCAACGAAAATTGTTTGTCGGAAAAGTTCGCAATTTCCAACGAATTTTTTTTTCGTTGGAAATTCAAAACGAAAATTGTAATTTCGTGTGGGAAATATTAGCGATTTCCAACGAATTTTATTTTTGTCGGAAATTACCAACGAAAATTCGTTTGTCGGAAAAATACGAGATTTCCAACGAATTTTTTTTTCGTTGGAAATTAACACGAAAATTGTTTTTGAGAAAAATTCCCGATTTCCAACGAATTTTTTTTTTCGTCGGAAATTACCAACGAAAATTGTTTGTCGGAAAAGTTCGCAATTTCCAACGAATTTGTTTTTCGTTGGAAATTCAAAACGAAAATTGTAATTTTGTGTGGGAAATATTCGAAATTTCCAACGAATTTTTTTTTCGTTGGAAATTAACAACGAAAAATTTTTGTCGGAAAAATCCCACATTTCCAACGAATTTTTTTTTCGTCGGAAATTAACAACGAAAATTGTAATTTATTGTGGGAAATATTCGGGATTTCCAACGAATTTTATTTTTGTCGGAAATTACCAACGAAAATTTGTTTGTTGGAAAAATTCGAGATTTCCAACGATTTTTTTTTTCGTCGGAAATTACCAACGAAAATTTTTTTTGTCGGAAAAATTCGGGTTTTCCAACGAAGTTTTTTTTTCGTTGGAAATTAAAAACGAAAATTGTAATTTCTTGGCCGAAATATGAGGGATTTCCAACGAATTTTTTTTCGTCGGAAATTACCAACGAAATTTTTTTGTCGGAAAAATGCGGGATTTCCAACGAATTTTTTTTTTCGTTGGAAATTATCACCGAAAATTATTTTTCGCAAAAATTCGCGATTTCCAACGAATCTTTTTTTCGTTGGAAAGTAAAAAAAAAAAATTGTTTTCCGAAAAATTCGGGATTTCCAACGAAGTTGTTTTTCGTCGGAAATTACCAACGAGAATTGTATTTTTTTGTCGGAAAATTTAGCGGATTTCCGACGATTTTTGCAACGAATATTTTGCAACGAATTTTTCCAACGATATTTAGCGACGAAATTTGCCACGAATTAATTTTCGTCGGAAATTACCAACGAAAATTGAAATTTTTTTTCGTCACTATTTTCGTTGGAAATTACCAACGAATTTTCCAACGAATTTTCCAACGAATTTTTCCCACGAATATTTCCAACGAATTTTTCCAACGAATTTTTTCCAACGAAAGAATTTCGTTGGAAATTACCAACGAAAATTTAAATTTTTTGTCGGAAAATTTTGCGACGACTAATTACCAACGAATTTTTTTTCGTCGCAAAATTCGTTGGAAATTCGTTTTCCAACGAATTTTGACGAATTTTTCGTTGGAAATTTCGTTGGAAAACTCTTGTTTTTTTGTAGTGAGGCAAGGCCTGAGACCCTAGTATCCATGCTCGGGTCCCCGGCGTCCGAGCCCGGGTCCATCGAGGCCGGCCCAGGAAACCAGTGCTCGTGCTCGAGATCCTGGCACATAAGCCAGGCCAATTGAGGCTGAGCCCTAGACCACGATGCTTGGGCCAGAGACCCGAGCTCAGGACCCTAGTGCCCATGCACGGGTCCCCGCACACCAGTGCCCGGATCTATCAAGGCTGAGCTTGAGACCTCAATGCTCAAGATCGGGTCCTTAAGTCCATCTAGGCCGGTCCTGAGAGTCAGGGTCCTGGACAAGGACCAGGGTCTCGGACCTAGCCTCTGTGGTCATTTTCTTGAATTTAAGCACAGGCACGGAAAAATTTTCCGTTCTCATTTTCTCAAGCGAACCAAACGTTGAATTTTCTTGAAAAATATTTTTTCGCAAAATACTATGGTCAAATCTGATAGGATTTACATGAACTCGCCATTTTCGATGGTTCAGATGCAGTTTACTAATATTTTCTACGCCTGCTTACGATTTCGTTTGGGAGTGGGCTTGGGCCTCAACTAGTCAGCTTCTCCGTCTGCATTTCTGAGCGATACCGAGCTCAGGCGCACAGCAAAATCAAAAGAGCTTGTAGCGCCGAAGCGTAAACTGAAAGCTAACCAGTGCTCCGACTGGCTCAAATTCTTCACTGTGTCCGCTGCTGAGCTCCCGTATATGGCGGACCCTGCTCTCCAGGCCAGCAGGTCGAGAGACCTCGACAAGCTCCTCCTCCGACCCGGCAACCTCGTCGAACCCAACTTCGAACCTGGACCCGAGGTAACGTCCTCGTTCACCTTTCGGTTGTAATTTGAACTGGGTCTTTTGCTGTCGATGCGGGTTTTGGGGGTTTGACTCCTCGTGGGTTTCGCAGCTGAGGGACGATCTTCGAGAATACGCGCGAGTGCTGGTGGTAGGAGCAGGCGGGTTGGGTTGCGAGCTGTTGAAGGACTTGGCTCTGTCGGGTTTCAAGAATTTGGACGTCATTGATATGGACCGAATCGAGGTCACTAATCTCAATCGCCAATTCTTGTTCAGGTGTTTGATTCTTTTCTTTTTTTTTTCCCCTTATCGGAATCGCCCTTGCGGCGTGGTCTGATTTGCTTTCGAATGGCGTGCTTTGTGTTTGAGTTGCGAGTAGGAAGTGATTGGGTTGTGAATTTTCTTTTTGGGAATGTTCATAGGCTTGAGGATGTTGGGAAGCCGAAGGCCGAAGTGGCGGCTAAGAGAGTCATGGAAAGAGTCAGTGGAGTGAACATCGTGCCGCATTTCTGCAGGATTGAGGAGAAGGAGCTCGATTTCTACAGTGATTTCAATATAATCGTCCTCGGTCTCGATTCGATTGAGGCACGGAGCTACATAAATGCCGTTGCTTGTAGCTTTCTAGGTGTGTATCCATGATCCCTCCAATCAATAACTGTTGAAATCGTGTTTTATCTACCATTTTGGGATCGAATATTCTTAATGAACTTACAGGATTTGTGGTGTAATTGGATCAAATTGACGCATGTGGATGGGTTTTTTGTACTTGAATGTTTTTGTTCTGCTGTAGCATACTTGCTGTACAGGTTCCTTGATTTTAGTGCTTAAACATTTGTGTGTAGTCAAGCTTTTTGTGTATGCTTATTCGAAATTAGATTGAAAACCATACTACTCCGACTCAAGATCTGAATGTTTTGTCCAAAAGTAATTTGAGGTGGTTTGGAAAGCACAAAAACTTCACATGCTTTAGCAAGAAGATTTTTGTGAAATTTTTTATGCGACTTAATACAAGTGGATACTTCCAAAAGGTTGATGGAGCCCCAAGAATTCATGGTGGAGACTTTGAGAGATTTTTTTGACTATAAATCAGTAACCACTGTAAGTGGGAGAGTTCAGGCTGATTGTAAGTATACTTTTATTGGTTGTATTTGTCATTTTAAGCTTATGCTTTGGCTCAACAGTCCAGCTTTAATTTCGATTTACTGCATATGGTCCCTACTGATCTTTAAACATCTAACAGTAGTTGCATTCTGACTCATATCTAGTGTAGGCAATTAATGCTCTCTGATGAATTCTAGAAGTAGGAGCTTTTGCTGACCTACCTCACAATCTGATTGAGCTTCACTGTTGTTGAATGAGATTACAGAATACGATTCTGATGACAATCCAAGGGAAGAAACGATGAAACCCATGGTGGACGGTGGGACGGAAGGTTTTAAAGGGCATGCAAGAGTTATAAAACCAGGGGTCACACCATGCTTTGAGTGTACCATTTGGCTTTTCCCTCCACAAGTGAAATTTCCTCTCTGTACTCTTGCAGAAACCCCGAGAACCGCTGCTCATTGTATTGAATATGCACATCTAATAAAATGGGATGAGGTGATGAGCTAACTTTGTAAGCTGTCCAATTCGTTCATCATGTGATCTGTTATTTTAAGTACTATATCTTATTTTGTCATTTGTGTTGGATTTTCACCTGTAGGTCCATAGTGGAAAGTCATTTGATCCTGATGAACCAGAGCATATGCAGTGGGTTTATTCTGAGGTTATTACAGTTGCAATCAAGTTGTTTAGTGATTTATCCAGACAATAATTTCATTTATGGACTCTTCACTTTTTAAAACTTGATCTGCAGGCTGTTAAAAGAGCAGAGCTTTTCGGAATTCCAGGAGTGACTTATTCCCTCACTCAGGTACATTAGTCCTCCTGTTGTTGTTAACTGCCTGGAGATTTTCCTTTTTTGCATGTTACTGAGCTTTACAATCTGCTTTGCTGTTGTCATCGCGCTAAAAATCTTAAGGAAGCATTTTTCTTATGAGTGGGGAAAAAAAACTTCGAAGTATTGTGAGTTAGATTTTCATGATTCTGTGCTTCATCCTAATACTGGAGTTGTTCCCTACGCTTTGATTATTTGGTAAATGGTAAAGCCTATTAAATTCCTCAGGTCATGCTGTAAACCCTACTGATTTGTTGTCCTATTTTTAACGTCAACTTGTAAAATTACAAGTAAACTCGTTTTGCTTCGTTTATCATGTGATTTATTCTAACATTACTATTTCAAGATAAGCTCATTTTATTGTTTCTATCCAGGGTGTTGTGAAAAATATCATACCAGCTATAGCTTCAACTAATGCAATCATATCAGCTGCATGTGCTCTGGAAACCTTGAAGATTGCAACTGGATGCAGCAAAACTTTATCCAACTACTTAACGTGCGTCATACCTTGCCTTTTACAGTTCTCATGTGCTTCATTGTGTAATTTTTTTTGTTTCCTGTATATCATGGATGTGGAGAGCATCCTGTTCTTGTTCCAAGTATTTGGCAAAGTTCACCCTGCAGAACTTTGTAGGGTTCCTTTAATATTATATACTATAAGTGACTGAAAGGCTTTCTAGTATTTCATCTTGGGCTGGTTTAATTTCCTGACAGTGTTTTTATTCTTCAAGAATATGCCAAGTAGGGCTAACCAATTTGCTTCCTGTATTCTTCTCTTACTATCTAGTGTGACCCTTAAGCATATCTTAGGATATGGCCTTTTAGTTTATGGAGATAAGACACATGTTTTAGTTTCACATGCCTAAATGGGTGACTATTGGAGTGGGCGGCATGCATAATCTGTTTGTTGTTGCTGCAGTAACGATCTTTCTATTCTTCATCAAAATCGATTCTTCAAAATCTCTCTGGTTATGGTCTCTCTGGAATCATTTTACATTGCTCTGCTAGTTCCTTACAGTCATGCTTTCTTGATTGAGTATAAGATTTTTTTGGTTAAATATCTGTTTCTGTCAGCTGTTCCAGATCTTATGTTGAATCTATTATTTTGTGTTTTCTGACATCCGTCTGTCGCTTCTTGGACAGATGTCTAGAAAAGTGTACTCTCGCTAGCTTTCTTGGGTTCTTTAAATAATTTGCTGGCTTGGGGGAAGATTTCAAGTAATTTTAGAAACAGCTTTCTATCAGAGCAGTCGACTGCGGGTGCAACATTTGGATGCCAATATATGGATTCTGTTGTCTTTTGTGTTTCTTCTTTCATTGGCTCTCAAGCCTCTTAGTGTGACCTCCATAGCTTATGATCCAAGCTTTTCATAAATTATCAGGTGACATGTTGCAACTCAATTAGAGGCTCTCAGTTCTGGAATCTTTAAGCTTGAGGTTAAATGGAGTGCATCTCAGTCATAAACTTGTGATGCCAATTTGTTTACTTGCTATTTCTTAGACGTGTATGAATTTGCCAATTTTTTTTTTTTTTTGAGATCCCTTAATTTTACTTTTGTCTCTCCCAGCCTGTCATCATATCCTGCTACTGTTACTGATCAGTACTTCTGAAGATCAGTACTTCAGCAGACATATTTACTCATTTGCTGTCTGTATGTATCCGTACTCATGAGCGAAAACTTGCAAGTTCCACATGTTTTGTCTAGTTGCTAGCTTGCAAATGCGTGGGACTCTCAATTTTGTTCTTTTGAGTAGGCAAACTTTGAGCTGCAACTTTATATATTATTTTTGAATTTCAGATACAACGGCGTGGAAGGACTTCACATTAAAGTTACCGAGTTCGTGAGGGATAAGGATTGCCTTGTCTGTGGTCCTGGTGTTCTTATTGAGTTGGACGTTTCAGTGACCCTACAAAAGGTGCTTTCTTGTTCTTGAGCTCTGTTTATTACTCGCAAAAAATTAACAGGAATGCTAACTAGAGGTTTTTATCCTGTATAGCTCTCTCTGTAACCTTCTTCACGCGTTTCTAAGCACTTTGATAGTTCTTGCAGTTATTTGATTACTCGTTGTCTCTTTTATCTTGTACATCATCAGTTCATCAATATGCTCGAAGAGCACCCAAAGCTGCTTCTATCAAAAGCGAGCGTCACGCATAGAGGGCAGAATCTATACATGCAGGCACCTCCGGTGCTGGAAGAGATGACTCGGTCAAACTTAGAACAGCCGTTATTTGATTTAATGGGTAAAGTTCCGAGAGATGTTATCCACGTGACTGGCATGTCGTGCAAGGATGATAAGAAAGTGTCAAGTTTGAGGAAATTGCGTGTTGCATTCAAGGGAGTTGATGGGGTTGTGGACATGGACATGGCTGGTGGAGCCTAGTCTCACCTTCCTAATTCTCAGCCCTTCGTTTCAGACGTAGGTGGAGCCCGGTGGTGGGATATGGAGCCGGAGCTCCAATCCCTCCCCATGCAAACCCTTGGGCCACTGCGCTATCATCAAATGGTAAGGCAGAAAACTCAAGCGGACCGTGCAAAAAGAAGATATCGGTAGAGTGAGCTTGGTCGGCATGATTTTGCATTATCTTACATCTTGATTCCGGGAAAGAGTTGGAGCCGTTCGATTGTACCTTTCGGTGAACTGTATATTTTTTTGGGCGAACTTGGATGAACTCTACTTACCATCCTATAGCACAGTTTCATGGAAGTGCAACTCGAATGGGAACTAACTTCATTGGTTCTTCTTCTTTGGCCCATATTTGGAGTTTCTCTTAGGGGAATTGAACCTTAAGCAAGAGAGCTGGAGCTGTTTCCTGGTGCTTAATTCCGATGTAGGCTGTTGAACGGTGAATTATATACATGTTTTCCTATTAATAACCTCACTCGTCAATATGAATGACAGGAAACTCTGAGCAATTCTAAGGACAGCTACTTCATTTTTCAAGGATCTGTCTTGCGATTAAAAGGTCAGAAAGGAGTATTTATAGCTAAGAGATTAAAACCAAGTAAGGATGACTAATATAATCGATCAAATTCCTAATATATAGGGTAAACCTGCTAAATTACTTGGATTCTTTGAGTTCTCAATCACCGGAGGAAATGTACCTAAAGGTCTGTTTAGTAATGTTTTTGTTCTCAGAAACAATTTCTGTTTATAAATAGTTTTTTCTATTTATATTTCCTAGATGAGTTTTTAAGTAAAAAAATGCGTTTAGTAACTGTACAAAATTTATATTCCCAGTGTAGAAAAAGAATAGAAATGCGTTTGTTAGGATACTAAAAATTTGTACTCCTAATTTTTTTCATTTAATTATAAAATCATCGGTGGAGACTTAGGGCATGTATGATAATCATTCTGTTTCTGTCTAGAACTAGTTTTCTGTTCTCGGGAACAGGTTTGGAACAGAAACCCGTTTGGTAACGCAATTTCATTTTTTTTTTCTAGAACAACTTTTTGTTCCAGAGCTGGTTCTGGACCAAAAATCGAAACAAAAAAAAAGTAAGTTTTCTGTTTCTGGACGAGAAATGAAAATCGTGTCTAAAAAAACGTGTCTTCTCTCTTCAAAACATATTTCTTCCTAAATTGAGCCCCCGTCTCCTCTCATTGCATCTGCATTTCAAATCTCTCTCTCTCTCTCTCTCCCGCCGTCTTGCTTGCTCGCTCCGGCCAAGAGGAAGCCAGGGCTGTCGTGATCGGGGAGGTCGGCTTCGGTTCTCCTCCGTCTCCTGTTCAGCATAAGCTCTGATCCAGCGCTGGGTTTCCTGCTTTTCGATTCAATTCCAGATCTAGAAGTCGCGATCTTTTTGGGTTCAATGCGCTGTCTTTGGTTTGTGTTGTTTCTTGGGTAGATCGGTTTTGGTCCGATGCGATTCGGAATGTTGTGTATGTTTCTCTGGGTGTATGAAAGTCATGGGCTTTTGTCCGGTTTTGGTTTCGATAGCTTTTGCTGGTGTGCTTGTGTTGCCGATCTATGGGCTGTTTGGTCGTTTGTTGGAGCGAATTGAGGCTCAGCTGCGTGCCAATCAATTGGCAAGTGATAATAATATGGCAGAGATTCCATGAAAATGTGTTTCCGACTTTTGTAATGTATTTCCATTATTTTGTATTTGAGGATTTCCTATGTTGGCCCTTGTAATGTGATGTGGTATTTTGGGATCTCCTATGTTGGCTCTTGTAATGATGTGCTTTGTTTACTTTTCTCCATAAGCATTTGGGATATTATGAGGAACAATATATACTAACAATTATTAAGAGTAAATATTGAGAGCGATAGTGGTTGAATGTTGAAGACACGCTCTAGTGCTTGGCCGTTTGCATTAATCTTACTGAAGCTTTGAGAAGCTCTTCTTTGGAAAGACGTAAAAATCAAACCGAAAAACTAGTTCAACAAAATTTATGTGATTTTAGAAAAAAAAGCATGCGATAATTTTGAACATACGAGGGATTTGCATCAAATTTGCTCTATTATAAAGTTTGGAAATATAACTTTTTGTTGTTAAAAAAAATGGATTTTTGTTCCGGGAAATAGAAATTTGTGGTGTTATCAAACGGGTTTCTATTCCAGGAAATAGAAATTTTATGCTGTTATCAAACGAGTTTCTGTTCCAAAAATATAAAATTTTGGTTGTTATCAAACGGGTTTCTTTTCTCAGAAACTCATCCTAGGAACAGAAATAGAAAAATCTATTTTTGTTCCAGGAATTGTTTCTGAAACAAAATGGTTAATATTCGCGCCCTTAACGATTTATGTTTGGATAAAATTGGACTAGAAATAGAATAAGAATATATTGTGACATAGAATTGGATGACTTTAATACAATCATTAAGAAAATTACTCCTTATAGACAAAGTAAACACCGGGTGGTGGTCGAGAAAATTACAGTTTATGGGACTTAACAATTCATGTTTGGATAAAATTGGACTAGAAATAGAATAATAATATATTTATGATATACAATTGGATGATCTTAATACAACCATAAAGAAAATTACTCCTTATAGACAAAGCAAATACCAGGTGGTGGTCGAGGAAATCGCAATTTAGGGTGTAGGATTTTAGGATTTGGGGTTAGGGGTTAGGGTTTTAGGATTTTGATTTTGAGGTTTGGGGTTTGGGGTTTTGGGTTTTAGGTTTGGATTTTAGGGTTTAGATTTGGGGTTTAGGTTTTAGAGATTCAAGTTTTGGGTTTTGGGTTTTAGGGTTTGGGGTTTAGGATTTTAGGGATTTGAGTTTGGGATTTAGGGTTTAGGGTTTGGGGTTCGGGGTTTTGCGGTTTTGCGTTTTAGGATTTAGGGTTTGGAATTACGATTTTGGTGTTTAGGTTTCAGGGTTTCGAATTTGGAGTTTTGGGGTTTAGGGTTTAGTGTTTCGGGTTTTTGGTTTGGGATTTTAGGATTTAGGATTTGAGGTTTAGAAGGTTCAGGGTTTGGATTTTAGGGTTTGTGATTTTAAAGTTTAGAGTTTCGGGTTTTTTATTTTAGTGTTATGGGTTTTAGGGTTTGGATATTGAGGTTTAAGGTTTGGGGTTTAGGGTTTAAGGATTAAGGTTTAGGGTTTAGTATGAGAATATCTTGTGAAAGAGAGAGAATTAATCTTGTTTCTCTTTTTGTTCAAGAAACAGAAAAGTAGATTTTTTTTACTTCTTATTTTTGTTCCAAATCTATTCCCTGATCACTTTTCTGTTCCAGGAAACAAAAAAATCTAACTGATGTTACTAAACGAATTTATGTTCTTTTCTATTCCGGGGAACAAAAGAACAAAAAAACAGAGAAATAGAAACGTTACTAAACAGGCCCTAAATATAAAAAGGGGTGATCGTTTTCTGAGTAAGTTTCAAATCATGAACCCGAAACCAATCTTGTTAAAGCCGATTCACAGTTCTTGGAATAGAGAGTCGAACTGTGACCCTAGCATCTGCCTACTTTTTTTATTTCATTTTTTTATTTAATTGCCCTATCATATGTATTATTTATGTAAAAGTTCTCAATAGAACATCACAACGACATCTTTGTGCTAATGCTTAACCTCATTAATTCTTGGCAATGCAAAAGTTCTCAATTAAGAGACTTTTAGGGTTTTGTTTTGAATTAGTTCAATTCGAGAACTGGCCTTGAAATCAGTTCAAAACCAATTCTCCCCAAGAATTGAGAATTGAATTGATCAAGACCAGTTCTCAAATTCTTTACTCCGGATCAAACCGGTTCTCATGTGAATCGGCTTGCAACTAGCTGAAATAAAAGAAAAATAGTGAAAAGCTTGTGTTCAAAAAGAAAATTACCATCAATTTGGCAAAAACAAAAGTTCCAGCGTTGTCTAGTTCCTGCCCAAGAACTAGGAACCAGACCAGTGTCCCTTAGAACAGGACCGACCGGTTCAGTCCAGTTTCCGGGTGGGCCAATGAAACCGATGATATATTCAGTTTTTTTTTATTTGTTGTTAATATTCAAGATGCAATTGAAGATATTTTTGATAATCAAAGAATTTCTACTTTTAGTGAGTTACATATAATATTGTAGGTTTTACATAGATTTTTCGAATTTGTGGCAAAATTTAGTTGGAATGAGCATGCATTGTTGTGTTTTGATTTATTCTTGTCATTTTAATCACATGTATAAGTAAACATATTCACTCCAGCTTGAAGGGCATTCATTTGTTAAATGAGAAATAAAAGGTATTTTTACACATTTTTAAGAAATTAAAATATTAAAAATAGGGAAAATTCCAATTTGGGGTCCAAAGTGGGGCCATTTTCTCAAAATGGGGTCACAAGTGGACTTAGTGCTTAAATTGGTACAAAATCCCAAAAAATATCAAATAAAGTGCAATGCCTAGTAGAATAAAATACCCTGCCATTTGGCGATCCGCTGACTATTCCGTGACGGAACAATGTTTTTATATTTTTTTTTTCCTTTTTTTTATTTTTTATTTTCCTTTTCCTCTTTTTTTTTCTCCTTTCCCTCCGTCGGCCATTGCCGGGGCCAGCGGAGGTCGCTGGCCTCAGGTGGAGGCGACCCTGGCCGGCCCTCGCCGGATCTAGCGAGGTCGCCCTCGCCCGCCCAGCCCAGGCGAGGGTGGCCCTCGCCCGACGCCGGCGAGGGCGGCCCTCGCCCGACCCTTGGTCGCCCTTGCCGGCGAGGGCGACCCTCGCCCGACCCTGGGTCGCCCTCGCCGGCGTCGGGCGAGGGATGCTCTCGCCGGATCTGGCGAGGGTCGCCCTCGCCCGACCCTGGGTCGCCCGGCCCTGGGTCGCCCTCGCCGGCCAGGGCCGCCTCCGCTTGAGGCCAGCGACCTCCGTCGGCCCCGGCAATGGCCGGCGGAGGGAAAGGAGAAAAAAAAAAGAGGAAAAGGAAAAGAAAAAAACAGAAAAAAGGAAAAAAAATATATAAAAACACTGTTTCGTTCGCCGAAACAATCGTGGGATCGCCGGCCGGTGGGTATTTTGGTCGGCCGGCGACCCAGACCCTTATTTGATACTTTTTGGGGAATTTGGGTACCAATTTGACACTAAGTCCACTTGGGACCCCATTTTGAGAAAATGGCCTCACTTTGGACCTCAAATTGGAATTTTCCCTTAAAAATATTATCGATCTTGTTCGAGTAGTCCAGATGAAATTCACCGGTTCCAAAATCGGAATCGGGAACCCGATCGATGCCCTGGGAACTTCCGGACCGGTCCATATTGTTCCTTTTGCACACTCCTAGTTAAAGCCTAATTCATTCGAGACGTGTAGTTTATGGAATCTATATCCACTTTCCGGACACTGCTCTTGTCCGAGGAGCAAGCTTCTTGCTCGGTCCTGACCAAAAAACACAAAACCTTCTTGCTCGACAATGGCTTCTTCTCCGACCGCTCCACTCACCTTTCTCTGTCCTCCCCTTTCTCCTGCAACAAAGCTCGTCTCTTCTTCGTCCCTCTTTCATCTCCGAAACCCTGAACCCAAGTTCTCGACCGTCGTCGCTCGCTCAATTCATTCTCCTCTCTCCACGTCCGGTCACGAGCCACCGCGAGCTCTCGTCGGCTTCTCCCCCGCGACGGACGGAGCCGACCCAGGATCGGCCCCTCTCACACTGAGAAGAATTTGTAGCGGCCACGTGCCCGAGCATATCCTGCGCAGGCAAGTGTTGATACCCAGTTCAAAAAATTGTTACTTTAGAGCGAGAAGTGAGAGGATGAACCGAAATGAAGGCGGGTTTCGTTGGTTTTTTGCCGATTTGTTGGGTTTTTGGAGCTACATGGAGAATTTATGTTGGGTGGTTTTGCAGGATGGAGAAAGTTGGGTACCTGTTAGCGACTGATGTTCAGAGGGAAGCATTGCCTGCCCTTTTCTCTGGGAGAGACTGCGTGCTTCATGCTCAGGTTGATCTCTTATTTGCCCATTGATTTTGGTTTTCTGTTTAGAGCAAAACGAGAGAATGAGTACACTGGAAGTTGGCAGTAAATGCAATTGAGTCCGATGCCGGAGCCTTTTAATTTGTGCTGTGCAGTCTTAAACCCTTTATGAGAATTTGGAAAGACGTGGCGTGGTCCTTCCATTCATCAGTTTCGCGGTTTCCCGGAAAGGTCCCCATGTAGGCAGTACCGGAGAAAATGCGAACGGAAGGACTACTTTGCAACTTTTCAAAAAGGCTTAAGACTGCTTTGCACCAGGCAGTCATGAAGAATTCCAATATATTAGTCCATTCCGGTTGTGTATGTTGAGTTATGAAGAGTGGTCTAATATGTGTCTGATGTGATAAGATCTACTGTGGATGTTCAGACTTCCAACTCAATCGGAATTACTCTTTGACTCTGCATATAAACTCAACTAAGGAAGAAAACGTAAAAGGATCCTGCATTGACATGGCCGGTGCACTCATGCTTTTGGCCCTCTAGACAGGTTCTGGGAAGACGCTGACGTACCTTCTGCGGATATTTTCAGTTATGAACACCCAACGGTCTTCTGTACAAGCGTTAATAGTCGTTCCCACCCGAGAACTTGGCATTCAGGTAGATTTCTGATTATGATATTTCATTTGATATTTTCCCTTTCATCTTCTGGTTCTCTTTCACTATTGTAACTTAGAAAGTGGTTGTTACATCTGCATAAAATGCTGGCGTGCTACATTAAGAGTATAATGTCATGTCTTCTTCTTATTGTTATCCATTTATGACAAGGTAGCCAAAGTTGCTCGGCTGTTGGCTGCAAAGCCGATGGATCTTGAAATGGAGCAGAATAATTCATGTACCGTTATGGCTCTTCTAGATGGAGGTACATTGAAAAGACACAAGAGTTGGTTAAAGGTTCTCTCTCTCTCTCTCTTTCTCTCTCTCTCTCTCTCTCTCTCTCTCTCTCTCTCTCTCTCTCTCTCTCTGTGCTAATGTGTTTCTATAGGCTACATATGTTTGTGGTGTGCTTTCCGAGCATAAAATTACAGTTAAGCTAGTCCTGATAAACTACTGGTAACTGTCATTACAACTTATATATAGAAACATTAATTCTTGAAACCCTTTGTCGTATAATCAGTTTACTTATTGATCTGAGGAAATGACAAGAATTCTCCTTATGTAGGAAAAGTCATTGAGAATCAATATTGAAATGCTTAGCTTGCTGCTACTATCGTTCCCTCTCCCGGGAGACCTAAACACTATTAGCAGAGCTATCTTCCAATGTACTTCAATGACATTTTTGTGGTCGCTCTGTAATATAGAAGGCTTTTGCATTATATGCTTTTTTCCTTTTCTTGACTGGATATCATATGCTGGTATCCATTTGCTTGTGGAGGATTAATGATGCGAAATTGTTTTTTCCTGCAGTTTATGCAAAACTATTCTCCCACACATTAGTTTACTCAGTTAAATACAGCTTATATTCCATTAATAATTGCTCTAAATTCTTCCATTTTTGGGCAACATAAGTTTGTCTCTTTATCGATGCTCATGTGTATATTTAGTTGTCTCCTTCTTCTTGAATGAATATTTGTGGTTGTCTTGCTCCTCGATTTGATTATTCTGTTCACACTCGCACAAGTACCCCTGTAACTAGATCTTTAGTTTTAGTGGAATTTCCTGCTTTTGCGGTCACGAATCTTAAATAAAGATGTACTAAGAAGACAGAAAACTTAAATTCTTCTCACTGAGGTCTTTAAACCTGAGAACAGAGAACCTGTCTGACTAGAAGTATGATAACAGAAGCTGGCAGTTAATAGCCCACCCAAATCCCCACACTTGTCCATTCATTTGCTAACAAACATGAATTGCCTAATGTAGCTATGTCTTTGGGATGCTTCTCTATATTTAAAGCATGCTGTTGATGGATTTCATGTGTCGACCTTCAATATGACCTTCTTGGCTTTTCCTTTTAACATTTTTAGGCAGAACCCCCGGCAATAGTAGTGGCAACCATCAGGAGTTTGTGCCAGATGCTGGAGAAGCAAGTTTTTAAACTTGACACATTGCAGATTCTAGTGATTGATGAGGTAAATAATGAGGAATAAGTTGAGTTCTTTTTGGAGCAAGACCTTCTTGGCATCTTAAAGCTGATTCGTTAACCCAGTATTCTATCTAAGATGCCAGAAAAGTCCCCATACATTCACAAGTGGCTTCTCGATTTTTTAATGATTTCAGAATTCTCCAGTATTTTTAGGGTGGACAGTTATTGCCTCTCCTATGCCTATAGGGATTAGAGTGACTGGTGAAGGGTCATATTTAAGAGAGGATATTCAGTTAGCATGTATTGCCATGATGGGTCTATTGTGTTGTGAGTATATTTCATTGGGTACCTTATAAACACCATATTAGTGATTATTAAAGATGTGGGATTATCCCATTGGGGCCTCCAAATCTTGTTTTATACAGAGATGATTCTTCCTGGATATTGTAGAATGAAGAACTGACGTTCTGATTTTGCTGCTGCCTAGGTAGACTTCATGTTCAACTCTTCTAAGCAAGTCAGCTCTCTCCGGAAGCTGTTGACATCGTACTCATCATGCAACAGCCGTCAAACTGTTTTTGCTAGTGCATCCATACCTCAGCATAAGCGATTTTTACATGATTGTATACAACAGAAGTGGACTAAGGTTGGTTTCATGAAGCTATCATTCTTGCGAATGTTCCGTTGGGGTTTACTCATGCACTCACTGATTTTATCTTCATATGATTTTGCCTGTTACAGGGTGATGTAGTTCATGTTCACGTCAATCCAATAGAGCCTATGCCATCATGTCTAAATCATAGATTTGTGGTAAGGACATTGAATGCGAGACTTGATCTACAGTCTCTTTCATAGAAGTTATCCATATGCTCAGTTTATGTTCATCTTCTTAGTCCATGCACTCAAGTGATGATCCTTGGCTTTTGACATGCTTAATGCTGCTATCTGTTTCAGACATGTCATAGGAATAGGAGACATCAGACCTTGCTACATTTATTACAGAGGGACAGCCCTGAATCTGGCATTATATTTGTTGGCGAGCAGGTATACTGCCTGATGTACATCCTGCATTACTTTTCTGTAGTTTATTCACATTGTTCGGTGCTGTAGTTGTTATAAGCATGAGGGGAAGCAATAGATTTTTCTCTGGATAATGAAAAATGGAGTCAAAACATGTCAACTAATGTCTGATATGGCAGGCTCCATCCCCAATTCATGCGACAGCGATTAGTGGTATTAGCTAAAAATGCTTAGTGAGTTCTATATGATAAATGGACTGAGAGATTTTCATGCGTTTATCAGTAAGGTCATTTATCCATATGCAGGTGCATCAAATAAAACACATGATGTTCTTCACACCAGTGAAAGAAGTTTATGCTCTTATGACGTTTCTCTTGGTTGCTAAATGTTCTAAAAGCTTAAGCTGTTAGATAAATGGGTGATTTATTATTTAAATATTCTAACACTCCTTATGCTTATTCTAGTCTCTTTGCCTAGTACAAGCGTGAACATATTTAATTGGGGAGGTAAATGGGGCTTGAAAAGATTGAACTCGGGACCTCATACTCTAATACCATGTGAGATTTGGTGGCACTACTGCCAACTGTTTTAAAAGTTTAAGCTCTTAGATGAAAACATGATTTATTATTTAAATATTCTAACAGTTTCCAAATATGAGGAAATTTTTATGACGCCCGAAAGTTTGCCTGCACGAAGAGGGTTTTGGAATGTATTAAAGTGAATGCAGCTTGTATTTATATATCCTATAGAAGCTTGTGGCATTCATGAGCACACACATATCACGTGAATACACCTTCATAAACAACAGTCCATAGGTCCACCAACCAATTCTATCTTTTGTGCATATAGTCTGAGAAGTCAAAAAAGACTGGAAATGTACCGCCAACAACTCTTCTACTTGAATTCTTGAAGAATTCTTATGGAAGCTGCTCTAATATTCTCCTTCTAGAAGAAGACATGAATTTCAATGCACGAGCAGCTTCACTCTTGGTAAGTGCTTTTCACTATTTCCATTATGATGTTTCTTCCCTCACTTTGAGAATGCTCACGGTTGAGAAATTTGGCATATTAAAGATATGCCCTTCAACTGTGTTCGTCCTATAATAAATTTATAATGAGATGGATATTATACTTAATTCTCTGAGGATCTGAGATGCCTGCTTCATTTAAGACGGTAGGAAAGATGCTGCAAAACCTTAACAGACCATTATCATTTGGTAGCGCTTAGCAGTATCAAAGAGATTATTTCACCCAAGAAAATTATCTGGCTACAACTCGGTTTTCTTTGGGTAAACCGTTTCTTTCTTCATAACCTTTATTAACGCCTAAAGCAGAGGTCAAGTTAAACTAGGCATATACTCCTCGCCATGCCAAACATGGGCATACTGAAGCACATCCTAGCCAGTCTATTGGTGAAAATATGTCTCAGTCCCTGACTTCATATTTAATTCCTTCGTATTCGGAGGACAGGAAGTGAGACAAAAAGAAGGCTATCTTATCGTAGCAACTGATATCGCGGCCAGAGGTATCGACCTGCCTGAAACAACTCATATTTACAACTTCGATCTTCCGAGGAGTGCCGTAGATTACCTTCATCGAGCCGGAAGGACAGGTAGGAAGCCATTTTCGGACAATAAATGTGTTGTCACCAGCATCATAGCATCTGAAGAGAGGTTCGTATTGAAGAGGTACGAGAATGAGCTGATGTTTGTCTGTGAAGAGCTCGTCTTGTCACTTTGATGCTCATCTTGGCATTGTTCGGGACAGTCTCTGTTTTTTTTTTTCCTTCTTTTTTTAGGCCTTTCTGGCTTATGTCTTGTACAGGAAACCTATGGTTACAGAAATTATCATGAGTTTTGATATGGCTCCGAACTTATTTTGAGTTTATTTTCTTGTTCGTGTTTGGTAAGGGGAGAGGCTACGTTAGCACACTTACTTTTAGCAAAGAATGAGAAACATCTGGTATATCATGTACAAGAGATTAAATATCTGTGCTAATTGGGCTCGTCTTGACCTTTTCGTAGTTGAAACAGACCCTGTTGTCTCGGCAGAATTCACAATCAGATTATTTGCTAGGAAAAAAGTCACAAAAAATCCCAAACTATCCCAAACTATGTTTATTTTTTTTTTACATCAAAAACTCTAAACTATGCCTATTGTGACACTTTACCCTAAAAAACTCTAAATTTACATTTATGTGACATACTTACCTTCCGTCAAGGTTCGGTCAAATGATTTTTTAATCAAAACGTCGTTTGTATTTCACTTAAGTCCCGTAGATGTTATGTCAATATCGTTTGCCTTCCGATATTTATATAGGTAGATTTTTAACGATGCTCGTTGACGGAATCTTAACGGAGGGTAAATATATCACACAGTACAAGCTTGAGATTTTTGGTGTCGTAGAAAAAAGTTTAGGGTAAATATGTGACAGTGAGTATAGTTTAGGGTTTTTGGTAAATTTTTTCCATTTTGTTATTATTTATTTTTGTTTGGGCTACAAAGTTACAAATCGATCTCGAATGTGTTTGCTCCAATTTTATCAGATGTTGCAAATGGACAAATCGGTCGCCGTGTTATTACCTGCCGTATTAGATTGCCAAGATGATTTGTTCAGGCCTGTATGAAGGGTTGGATGGACTTTGAGTGATTTGGTTCAACTTGAAAATAGGCTTTGGGACTTCGAAGCCTCTTTGGCAAATGTAAATGGCGTGTGATAAATATTTTGAAGAGGTTTGGGTAAATGTAATCGAAGGCCTTTAGCCCAAGGCAAATCCAAAGGTACTTTGGAATACTGTATTTCCGGAATGCAAATAGACTTTTCTTCCAATTTTACCCTTGATACACTTTCATAATTATGAAAATGTCATTGAAAATCCTAACGTTGCTAGCGAAGGCCTCAGCGGCCGGTAAGCCACCGCCACCCTTGCCTGAGGTAAGGTGAGGTTGGTCGGCAGCTAGATCCGGTCGTCGACGATTGGCCGACGGCTGCGCTTCACCGGGAAGGTTTGGAAATTTTTTTTGAAAAAAAAAACTAGCAAAATTCCTTTATAAATTTTAGTTTTTACCGAACAGCATTTAAGTTATAAGGTACTTCTCAATGTGTTCTTAAAATACACTTTGCCAAATACTACTTGCATTTTGGAAAGCCCTTTTAATCCAAAAGTCTTTGTATTTTCCCAAAAATATTCCCCCAAAAGCCGAACCAAATGCACCTTTCATGACTTTCATATCTGCAACTATAGAAAGTCATAACTGCAAGCATCACGAGCTTGGGTGAATCCTTTTTTCCTCCAATACAATCACTCGATTGTGAATTCTGGATCCTCTTTTTGAGCTTTTCCTTTTGGGCTGATCTAGAGACAGCAATATCTGGCTGGGTCACTCCCTCACTCATCTCCTTGGACATATGAAATGTATATGATGTCTGCTGGTCTGTAGGCAATTTCATTATCACCTCTAAGATCCACGATTTCTGGGTCACGGAAAGGTCGAATTTTCCACGAGACAAAGCGAAAAGCGAATCATGCATGTTTGTTCACTTTTTTGGGGATGGGTTCCGTCGTGCACTAACCATCTGTTTGGAGTCATTCTTAACAAGAACCTTGCACATTTCCAATGGACATTCACATTTCTAAGGAGGCAAAAGCAACTAAGAATGGATAATTAACTGCAGAATCCAAAAGCTCATGAATGAAATGTGCACAACTTCTTATCACCAACTCTACAGGTACCACCATAGTATCTACTACGATTAAAAAGTAATTCATATGCAATCTCCAAATGATTACCTTTTCGAAAAGAAAGGCCTCTTTTTCATTCAAGTCAAAGGATGACAACTTAGAGAATTCAGGGTTTAAGCAAATGATGATATGTTGTGGGATACAAAGAGTCGTTCAGGCTAAAAGAAAGCATCGTTCACGGGGCGGTCCTGAACTGTCTCTGTGTTCCCTCGTCCATGTTCTTCACGCGATCTACCTTCTGATGCCACAGGATCCTGAAAAATTCCATCTGTTCCCTGCCGACTAATGAAAAGCGTTCTTGCACTTGAACATGCCCCCAGTTATCAAATGTCAGTTGGTGGGTTAATAGGTGATGGTCAGCAAGATTTGAAGTCCATCAGATGTTTTTCATATGTTTCTTTTTCCTTGATTGCTCTCTTTTTGACTCTTGTGCTGAGAGAAGAATGGAAAAAGGGGGTTTCAAAAATTTTGAAAATTGCGGTGACATGCGAGGGCCAATGTGCATGCACGAAAAGATTGCTTAGCATCAAGCAGATTAGATGACTTCCTAAAATTTTTATTGTTATTTTTGTTTATTTTCTTGACGTGAAAGACCAGGATTCTCCGATCTCACTCGAGAGACATGACGAAAAGGAGAGGCTGTTTAAGGGAAAACCAGGAATTTCTAGGGGTCCAAGGTGATGGTATGGTGCGAACCCTTTGACCGAATTGGAGAGAGAAAAATGCCGGTGGTCTGTTCATGAGCAGAATTGAAGTCGTTCTTATCCTATGTGAGTTCAGTAAAAGTTGTTGGAAATGTTCCCATGAAGTCACTTAGCTTGGTTCGACTGCTACAGCACACTAACATGAGTAGGTGATACAGGGAGGTGGGGCTATAAATGGACTAAACCGAATTTTTCAACTTAGGCATAGATGATTTGGACGGAAAAAAAAAATGGGGTCATGTTTTCTCCATCCCTAACCAGTCTTCGGATCCGTTGATTACAAGTTCTGAAGAACATCATCCACGTTTAATTTCCGTTGGTTTGGATGCGAGTGGCGTTTGTAACTTGTAGCCTATCGATTAGAAGCAGGGATGAAGTCAAGCATGACCCAAAAGATGGAGGAAACTTTCTCCGACCACTGTTGTAATCAATCTGTTATAAGCATGGGCATTATGAATAGGTATTCTTATGAACTAGGGTTCTCCTCTATCCCCGTTTTTCTTCCTGCCAGTCTTTTGATTTGCGGGTTTACAAAATTGGACATCGCCCGCATTTATATTCAGTTAAATTTGCATGCGGGTAATGCTCGTAAATTGAGCGACGTTCATATTTGTAACCTACTAATAAAAAAGACTGATAAGAGGAAATTTACTTCACCTTTGACCGAAGCTCGAATTAGCAGTTGACCGGGCAGCAGCCAATGACCCCTAGGTGGCCTCTACTCCTCGATAAGGAAATCTGATCAGAAAAAAAAAAGAGTAAAAATAAGAAGGATTCACGATTCCCTTGTATGTTCTCTCTTCTAAAGTGTGTTAGGCATTTTCTGTCCCTTTGTGTATAGAGACTACGCAAGTTTCAAACCTTTTTTTCCCCAATATAATGCGAAGTCGGGTATGTAGTAGGTCCAAAACTCATTATCTATGTCTGCTTATGGTTAAAGTGGAGTATTACCTAATTATTCTTAGACCAATTATACGAATGCCAATTCAATCTTAAATTTTTCAATTTTATCAATTTAGGCTTGAACTTTTACGCGAAATTGAATGTGGTCCTTGTGATATTTTTTTCGTTGGAAATCGCTGACGCGGCGATCCAGTGATCTCCATCGTCAGCCGTCCTATGTTATAGCGGCATGTCAGCAATTTCCTAGGAATATTAACCGAAATAATTACATTGGAATTTCATGTAAAGGTTTAGGACTAAATTGACAAAATTAAAAAATTTAAGACTTAATTCGCACCGCACAATAGGTTTAGGATTGATCAAACAATTTTTCCACGGTTAAAAGAAGTATGGAATCATTTCTTATCATAATTGCAAGAAGAGAAAATCAATTCAATCCACTTCCTTTCTTTCACAGTACATCACATTTACAATACAATCAACATGAAGTGACGAAGCAACATGCGACAACTATTCAACCGTCTTTTGAATCACATGGGACAAAACCTTGTTGTCTTAATGGTCTTAGATCGCCAATAACTCTTGTCCCAGCAAAAAGCAAAGACCCACCAAATAAGCACTGAAAATCCATTACCCCGGCCTTAAGCAATGGAACCTTAGTGTAGCAAAGAATTATCTTTTGCTGAGCTCAAGGAAGCTCCAAAATTTGGTAAAGCATACAAATAATACTAGCGAGCTTTTCCATGCCTTTAACGACCAATAATTAAAGCTTTTTCTCCCTTTGGAACCATTGAAAATGTCCACCTCCCTTCAAATACTGCACTTTATTACTACTCGCCCACATACGTATTTTGTACATGTGGGACATATGATTGGTGCTTTATTTGTCATGTGGATTAGATCGTCTCGTTTTTTTTTTTTTGTCAAGATTAGATCGTCTCGTTGGATCGCATGCATACCATACATCTTTTCAATTGTGGGGGCAGAATTTCAGCTTGTGGAAGCTTTGTCCTTTGTCTTTTGATTTTTCTTCATAAATTTGTCTAAAGCTTTGAATTGGTCTTCAACTTTTATGGACGTAAAGATCAACCCAATCTTTTCCCGATTAGGTAAATCGGGTTTGTGTAGCCTTTTCTTTAAAGGGTGAATTGAAAAGGAACTATGCACATAAAAGTTGAAGACCACTTGATACAATCAGACATTCGAGAGTCGATGATTAGGGTTTTTGTCGGATCGCTTGGCTATAGGATGCACGAGTCTTCAACATGACTATTATACTGCAAAGGTCGACTGAGTCCATTGAAACCCTAATTAGATCAATTGGGTTAGGAAAATGAGATGGCTTTGAGCGAACTAGATCTTCTTAGTTATTTATCGCGAGTTGACTTCTACATCAAATACAAAAGGGAAAAAACCATAAAAAATGTCAAACTATGCCTAATGTGACAAATTTACCCCGAACTTTGTTTGTAACATCAAAAATCCTAAATCATGCCTACTGTGACACATTTACCCTAAATTTTTTCTTGTGACGTTAAAAAAACCACAAACATGTACCTAAATGACACATTTACTCTATGTTAAGGTTTTGTTATATGATTTTTCAGTCAAAACAATCATGTGGGCGCGATGTTAACACCGTTTGCTTTACATTGTCCATATAGGCGAATTTTTAACGATTCTCATTGACAAAACTTTGACGGAAGGTAAATGTATAACACATGTACAAGTGTGGGATTTTTTGTGCCACAGAAAAAAAGTTTAGGGTTAATGTATCACGGTGGGTATAATTTTTGCCTTATATAAAATTAGCCTATGCACATTAAGATAAGCCAAATTCGCGAGTCCTTTTTTAAAGATGAATATCATCAATATCAATACCATTTGTAAAAAGAGAGATTTGAAGAGCGGCCTCTCACAAAATTGTTCATTTTATCCTTCACAGTAATTTCTTTGAGTTCTGCTGACTACTCAATTTTCACACTTTATTTCGTGCACCCATTTTCTTTTTACATTTTATGAACATGTTTTTTCTTAAATTTTCACACTTTATTTCGTGCATCCATTTTCTTTCTACATTTTTATGAATATTCCGCTTATCAAAACAAATTTACACAATCTATCCGAAACAACATGTGGTGAGAGAGTGACCAAGTAGAGGGGGCTCTATCCAAACCTTGGGGAGGTCAGTATCACGTGTGTCTATCTATTTTCGCTTGTGGAGGATCCTCCCAAAGATTTTCATAACATAGGCAGCATCATTATGGGATTTCCGTGCAATTTTGTTGTATCCCGTCTCTGAAATCTTTGCAGAACATTATCTGAGCAAGACAAATTCAGCCGCAAAGATATTCATATATGCTTTAAAAAGATACTATATACTAGTATAAGCTAAGTTTGTGTTTAGGGTGATCTTTGCTTTAGAAGTTTTTGCCCTTGATTTCTATTCATAGAGTTCTAAATTTGAATTGTATACATACTCAACTAGTTTCTATTTACATTACAACCAAGTTTAAATGGGCTGGCAATTGATCTCAATAAAGTTTCGCCTATAGTTATGTGTAATGTGGTTTTACCTTACCATTTCAAAAGATTCCATGTCTATTTGATGATTCTTAAATGTTGTTGAGATAGATATTATAAACTTGAGTAGGCTCATCAGCCTGCCGAGTTTAGAATTCAATGGCAGACTGAGAAATTAAGCTAAGGAGGCGAGATAATTTTTTTTAACTATTTTAGAAGTCTCTTTACCCGACAATATAAGGGTTTTCGGACCTAGCAAGGTAGAAGCTACCACTAGCCTAGTATTGGTGAGCTTGAGAGCTCAATTGGTAAGATACTCTAATAGCTAGATCTTGAGTTCGACTTGAAATTAAACGAGTTGATCTTGACTTACAAAGTCAAACCTTACTTCTTGCAATCGAGTAGCTTAAAGTCACTAAACAAAGTTTTCCCTTGGTTAAAAAGAATTCCCAATGCTACTTTTGATTAATTGTGCGGCCTCTTTCTAATCGGAGCCGAGTAACTCTCGCCGACTTGTGATTGGCTGTCGTGAAATTGTGCGCGTCGGTAAAACTTTGCAGATTAGTACTCTATTCAAGTGATAGGTGAAGTAAGCTGATGGTTCTTGACAGGAAACACATAATACGAAGTGGGGGCAAGAACAAAACATGAATGCGTGACATAAAACCAGATCTTTTCCTAAAAGAAATGAAATGAAAGCGAGATCCCCTTACATGTGCAGATCCAATCCGTACGACCCAAGTTGCCCGGTGAGGTGCATTATTGCCTTGTGTCTCGGGCAATCGTCGGTCGACAGAATATAATGGTTGGATTGTGACGGTGCTTTGGTACATACTTTCTTGTCCAAAGGATGTACCACGAGGACATGAGACCCAGAAATTCTGCAACAAGTATATTGGATACCGATAGTTTGTATGACTGGACTTTTTCACGATTAAAATATTTAAATAATAAATTACGTATTTATCTAATAATTTAAATTTTTAAAATAGTTGACAGTGGTCTCATAAAATTTTACACAGTATCAGAGTTGGATGTCCTGAGCTCAAATCTTTTTAGGCCCCATTTACCTTCCTAATTAAACATTTTCATGCTTAATAATGGGTAAAATGGCTAGTCTAAACGTGAGGAGAGTGTTAGAATATTCAAATAATAAATCATGTATTCATTTAATAACTTAAGCTTTTAGAATAATTGACAGTATTCCCACAAAATTTCAAATTCACTAAAACTAGCATACAGTATTCGTCATGTACATGCGTATGATTAATTAAGCCTACGCCGTACTGCCAATTTAATCCTTAGCAATGCTTTTGGATATGCACGACCATATTTTCATTAAACTAGGAGCTAGTAGATCGTGCGCTGTGTATACATTTCTCGTCGATGTGTGTAGATGGTAATCGACTACTGCTATAGCCTGTCATTCGACGTGATCGGTATGTGGTGCGCCCGCAAATTTACCAGCCTTTCACTATGTTTTACCTCTCTTGTTAACTCGAATTGGAGATGCATTTCTAAGATCTAGCTGGCAGGACTCGCACATGTTGAGTAGTAGAGTCAAAATGGAAGAAAAATTCATTATCATGGACCTTTAGGGTTTTCAATAATACATGGAGAGAATCATGGGATGTGTTTCCTCTCTTGTTAAAAAAAAAAAAGAAAGAAGTAATTTAGTCACTCGGAGGAAATGCGACAAGCAAGAACCCACATGAGCCTATGATGTCATTTTCTTTTTTTCTTTTTGAGGGGGGTTTAAGGTTAACTACACAAACGATAATAACGGTCTACCATCCCAAGCCAGATACATGAAACATGAACATGCACACCAAATAAGAGAAAATCAAGCTGGAATAGACAAAAAAAAATGCTAATAATAATAATAATCATCATCATCATGATCAAGAAAAGGAAAGATAAATGAAAAAGAGAGAGAGAGAGAGAGAGCGAGAGAGAGCGAGCGAGAGAGAGAGAGAGAGAGAGAATTATAATTTGAAAGTCCATGATGGGGGGAGAGAGATCTCCTCTATGTGGCCACCAAGAAAGCCTTACAATACAACAATCTCTTCCTGCTCCCATGCTCATTCCCTCCTCCTTCTTTACAACAGGTCGGCCTTTGGCGATGGTGATGCTGCAACATTTCCATCCCCGACTTGCCCCCAACACTCTCATGAGTTCCCTCCATGCCCTCCTCTTCCCAATCGTCCCCATCGCTGTCTTGCTCTGCCTCTTCCTTCTCTTCTTCTTCTTGTTCGTCAACTAATGACAATTCTCCTCCCACTTCTTCTTCTTCTTCTTCTTCTTCCTCCTCCGCGACGTCGTTCTCGGCTGTTTCGTTTTCAGCGTCGCCGTCAGTCCTTGCCTCGACATCTACCCTATCGTCTTGTTCTTCGGAGTCAAAGCAGAGAGGTGACCTGTCTTTGAAAAGGCAGAGCCTGAGGCGGCCATGGCTTCGCTCGGCATGAAAGCAGGAACGATTCCCCTGTGGGGCCCTCACGGCCTCAAGAATCAACCTCCCTTCTTCCCTGTGCGGCCTCACTCGTATGGAGTCGTTAGCCATCGTCGTCAAAGGTGGTGGGAAACTGTTGCTGTTGCTATCATTAATGTTAGTCCCAGGTTTCGCTTTCTTGGTTGCGTTTTCCACGTTCATGATTTGTCGTGTCGACCAAGGCCTCGGGGCTGTTTGTTCCCTCTTCGCCGACTTGCTCTCGTCCCGGGGGTCGCCGTCGCCGTCATCGTCGTCGAACGTGACGATGTTGCTGCTCTCGCTGCCGAGGTTCTCCGTGCAGAGCTCCAAGCTCAGCGGGCTGAGCCTGAGCGAGGAGGCTCTCGCCAGAGGGTGGACGTAAACGGGCGGTTCTTGGTCCGGCTCGGAGGGTTCTTGGTATTTGTTGGTCGAGAGGGGATGCAAGAAGCTCCAACCACCAACGCCCAGACCCATGCTGGGATTCGATGGTGAGGAAGAGATGGGGTGGTGCTGGTGGTGGTGATGATGATGGGTGTGCTTGGGGTCTTCAAGAAGCTGTTGGGGTGTGGTGTTGAGGGGATTACAGTGGGGGGGACTTGAGGAGGCCAAGTCAAGAAGTGAGTGAGGGAAGCTGTGGTTGGTGGTGGTTTTGGGGGTGACCAATTTGAGCCTCAGAGCGGTCATTGGCTCTTGCACAAGGTGGGGTTCTAGGCATGATTGCAGGCCTCGGCACACTAGTGTTGCCATCTCTCTTGGTGCCTCTTTGGTTATGTCGAACTCAGTTGGGAAGCAAGACGGTTAGCCAAGAATTGGACGGTTGAAGCAGAGGAGAGAGATGAACTGCTGTTTTGTTAGAGAGAGAGAGAGAGAGAGAGAGAGAGAGAGAGAATTAGAGGAGTTGGGCATGGAGAGAGGAGTGAAGGGGAGGGTGTGAATTTGTAGTGCTCAAAAAGTGCATCTGAGGACTGTGGTGGTGGGCAGAGAGAGAGAGAGAGAGAGGGGGGGTTAGGAATAGGAGGTGGCTTTGCTTGCTTTTCTTCCCACCACTTGAAGATAAAATAGGGAATAAAGAAAGGAAAATTGAAAAGTTAGAGTTGCAAAAGTGCTTGTCGGAGCTAGCAGCTAATGTTGCACACGACCTGTTAGAGGCAATACATAGTGATTAACCGGTATATCAGATGTCGCGTTGCTTATGTTTTCAAAAATTACACTTTTATTGTCTAAATTTCATAAGTTTCGATTGATTTGCATCAAAATTATACATATGAATATCTATTTCATAAACCGGTTTTGAAAACTGAAATTTGATTGGGATAAGTATTACCGTACGTTACAAAAGAACTAAGAATTAAATATGTTGGATTTGAGATGAGAATTTCATCTTTACGGGCTCCTTTTTGTTGCAAAATCACATAGCACACCAAATGTCTTTTTCTATTACGAAGACCATAGGGTCGTGAAACTCATCCAGAAGATACTTTTCAATTTGTATGCATGCCTTCTAGAAATAGCTGCCAAATGAAGTTTCCTTTTCCATATCGCAACATGCACCAGATTCATGTTACTGCAGAATATACGAGCGCTAATCTAATAAAACTCAGAGAGAAATAATATGAGTTGACTCATATGCACTAAACTCACACGAATCAAATATGCGTTAATTATTTGAGTTTTACGGGCTCTTCTTTGCCTTTTTCATCTCTTCCAAGAAGCCCACAAAGAAACGATGAATTTTCCCATATCGGCAAAAGAAAATTGTTAATTATTACGATATTCTACGAGATATTGGATGAAATTGGAAGTTACAAAAAAAATATGCTAGTTATGACTTTTTTGAATTGTTTATTATCTAATCTAGGGGGTATTCACGAAAAGTTAAAAAAGCAAGACTAAGCCTACTTTCCAAGTTACACATTAAATCGATAGTGATACCTGTCTCCCCATCCCATTCTGTTGTTTCTTTCCATACGATTTGATTTAAAGAAAAATTATTCAACCAAGAGTCAAAAGCCAAGTTGATTTGCATTCCTGGGGGAAAATACCGCCAGATTCTTTCAAATTTCCATGAGCAATAATGAGGATTTCTCACCAAGAGGCATGAAATGGACCGATTGAACTTATGTTCTGACCGCTGAGTCTCATGATGCAAAAGGAGAATTCACCTATGCATGCCTGTAATTTAAATCAAAGTTCAACCCTTTTGACTTAATTTTACAACTATTTACGAAATCGATCGTATGTTAAGATCAAGTGTCGCTCAGGGTCGATCGACTCGAATCCGACATGTCATTCGGCGAAATTTTTTTGTACATTCGAAAATATTCTGTCGGATGGGACCAAGACCGCAATGTCAAATCACATTATCGTAGCCCCTTCGGTTCATACGTCCATAATTAAAGGTGGTTGCGAAAAAATTTTGACGAGAGAGAATCCTGCGAACGCCGGATATTCTGCCGGGAATTTCAGACCAAACATGCGGACGCTCTTTCCATTGACTAAAAATGCTCCTCGCACCCACAGAAAACACATGGCCGCACAGCGAAAATAAGGATTCCGTCGTGTTGGTCGCGTTTTAAAACTCCAAAAATATCAAGAATAGGGTCCCTCTGTTTGACCTAAACAGGCCGGTCAAAGGTTGAATTCCGAAGCTGTTCAGCAGTGTGATTTTTGCAGGGTAGAGCGTAGCGAGAGGAACGTTTTCTCTGTTGGACATGCCTTGGTCGAAGTGTGCTTTGTCGGAGAGAGAAAATTAGGGCTTTTTAAGGTTCTCTTGTTGGTTCGAAATCGTTTCTATAAATGGTGGGTGATGCTGGGACGTGCGAGTCCCGTATTTAATGCCCTTTTTCTTGCATGTACTTTGATTCTTCCAGTGATGCGATGCCCACATGGGTCGTACTGATCTTGCTAATGGACACCGTTTCGGGTACGTCTTTATTGACCCGAAAATATTCCATCTTAAGTGGCGAGGCAGGGCTATACGAAACACGCACTGATACACAAGATCCAGAAAGACTAAAGCTTGAGTTGGTGTTTGTAAATATGAGCTTGTTTGCGCTCAATGGCGAACCAAATAGAGCCATAGAGTTACTCTGACCGATGTTTGCGACAATGAGTTCACCAGAGACTTGTGGGACATCTATCCGTGACATTAGGTGCTCAATTTCTTCATTTCGCCAATCACGAAAAACAAGATGTTGTAGAATTTTTCATCATTCCATCTCAATCAAATTGGAATTTTACATGTGCCGCTGCACACACAACACATCCATTATTCTTTGAATTATTAAATCGGTTGTGCGAGATTAAAATATGAATATGGAAGTCCAATGGTCACCATCGAGCCAATTCAACAAAATGTACGGATGAATTAACTCCGGGACAGTCATGTTTAGAGACAACCTTTTCTGCAAGCCAAAAGCAACTAGAAATGATCCCCTACTAAGACACCCTTTTTGTTCTGTCGGCGAGGACGTGCTTACCTTGAAACCCTAGAAACCTCTCCCTCTCTCTCTCTCTCTCTCTCTCTCTAGGTGATGACCTACCCTAAAAGATTAAAGCTCTGCTCAAATTAACATCTATAAAAGTTGTGTTAATAAAAAAAAAACATCTATAAAGTTACCACCCGCCTGGGTGGCGCTGCTGGAGCGCGCACTTTTCCTCTCGCAAAAGGTTGAGTGTTCGAATTCCGGGTGCCGCAGGGTTACTTAACCGGTGCACATGTGTGGTGGCTAGCATGTGTCGCCCCCAGGATTTACCTCCCGGCTGTCGACCGTGCGGGGATTCCCTGGGTCATCAAAAAAAAAAAAACATCTATAAAGTTGCGGTTGGGGCTAAATCCCACTTGAGGGGCTAGTGGGTTTAAGGTTCCCAAGAATAGAAATCGGTAATACATTGCACCATAAGAGGAAAAACCACACTAAAGAAAACCACCTGGCACATCAGTGGCCTTCGCAAAACTATATTCTTGATTTTGTAATCTTCGGGTGCCTTTTTTGCACGTTGCCTGCCTCTACTTGCGCAAAATAGACATAGACATGCGTAAGAAAATTCCTTTTTGAGGAAATGGTTTGAGGTCCTGAAGTGAGTTCCTCAACATCTTGGACTTGCTTTTGGGAAATGAGTGAATCAAAGATCTTGAACCTACCTTTTATCTCTCTCTTACGCGCAAACCCCAAGTTTGGAGGAAGCATATGATACGGGACTTTATAAAATGAGTAAATCTTCCATACGTCGATGGTGTGCGAATTCAACCACAAGCGAGCATACTTTATCGCTGGAAAAAAGAAGCAATTTGGCAAGTTGATGATCTTTCTACTTTCTTCTTGTAATTTGTAGTTAATATTCAGCAGTTTGCACTAGTTCATGAAGGTTTGGCTCTCAAATTCCATGAACACTCTCTGCAAAACTATCTGATCTTATCTCCATCTCATGTCCCCGTGAGGATTACGACATAACCATGGTTTTATATCTTGGGCATTGGGAGGCCACTCGTTTTTTACAAACTAATTATAGGTAATAATAAAGTGCAACAAAATGGATTCAATGTATATTATCTTTCGTTTTCTCCTTTATAAAAGGAAGGCACGACAACCACGACCTCGATTGTACGAACTCGTTTTAGGCTTGTAGATCTTGAGAGTCTATTTGCTTTTGCTTGTACTTATGCCCATATAAGGATGCAAAGATGAATATAGATGATAAAGGAAGAAGAATGTATTGTACATATTCCATGATACTATAACAAGGAAATAATTTTCTACGGCTCCTCCATTTTGACATTGCTGATATGAGAAGAATTTCTATTTCCTACGTTTCCCTCTGGTATAATTTGTGTCAAATGATTTTGGTAATTGGTGAGTAGATGTAATGAAAAAAGATGTCGATGTACCTTTTGCATTTCCCTTTATTGAATGAATCGGTGAAGGACAATTTATTAGTCCAATGTCTTTGTTAAGAAACAAGTTTTGTCAGAAAATTTTTTTTTAACAAAAGCGAATTCGGGCGCATTCTTCACACAAGCAAAAGCTTAGAAACGACAGGAGCTGTCAAGGTGCAGCAGTAAACGTGACCTAAAATTGCGACCTGGCGATCCAATGCACGGTGAGCTCAGAGGGAGGGAGAGAGGAAGAGGAGGAGAAGCTGCAATGGAGAGGCGGCGAGCGGGCTGCGGCGGAGGCAAGTGCGATCGATGGTGTCGCTTTCCTAGTTGCAGAGCACACAATAGGAAGAAACGGAAAGAAGAAATAGACGTTCAAAACTGATCTCAACGGTTCAAAGTCCTCATGACTAATGTGTAAAATTCATGATTTCAATTGGATGTATATGTGAAACTTAGAAAAGTCTTGCCCAACGACATTTTACTTCAAATACTTAGTCCGTTAAAAAAGTGGGATAAGAATAAATATTCATCTCGTTCCTTATGATAAAGTATTGCATGCTGTACCTAGTATATCTGTCTTCTTTCTTCTTGGGTTTCGATTTCAACAATAAATGTTGAAGCTTTATCAAGGGATCATTGTAGAAAGATCTGCTACACGTTAACACATAACATACGTTTGCGTCATTATCTATCCATTTAATATTTGTGGAAATTATTGCAACGTAATATCACATCCAAGAAGAAGGGTAGTGTCGGATTTACCTCCGTCGTCATTTATTTGAGGGATTTTTGTACTAGATTTCAA